CCCACTGTATTGCTTGAAAATATGGCACGAGTTTTATTTTAGGGATTTGCAGTCTTTTTTGTATTTTGTTGGAACAATATTTTCCAGTTTACCTGTACCCATTTGATATACTCCTGAATGGAGAGAAGCACAGCACAATGACCTGTCAAAGTCTTGGACCCAAACCTGTCAAACTGGAGGTCACCTTGCCAACCATTGGACTACTGGATCTCTCATGAAAAGAGGGGGTGGGAGTTGGATTCATTATGATCTAAAACTCAGTTAAGGGTCATAATATATCATTCTTATCTCTTTCTTTTATTACCTACTTCAATAGGCAGAGAATGGATCATCAGGAGTACAAAATGGGGAAATAAGCATGGACAAGTAAGACTATTATACTAATAGTGAAGCCAACAGACATGAAGTCTTTTATGCAGATCGGTGACAGTAATGTTATTACATGTACTTGGTGTCACTTTTAGTCATATTTGATAGAAATAAGATGACATAACAGTACTCTCATTATTTCAGTGGTGAAGACAGTGGAACAATGAAAGTTCTTAGTGAAGACCAGGGTGATGATGATGATGAGCCCCCACCCTTACCCCCTAAGGTTTGATCTTCTTCAACATGCTTCAGTGTGATCTTGTCAAGTGAATGCCATAGATCCAAGTAGCCTTTCAGTAATCTCATAATTTCTTTTCTGTAATTAATTTCTTGTTTCCTCCCAATAGTTAAACAGGAATTCTCATTACCAAGTGCCACAGCCTAGCATGAAACCAGTTCCACCTCCAAAGCCAGTACACCTGAAGCTGTCAAGAGTAGTAAGTGCACAAGAGGGGGGCCAACGATCGTCTCAACCAAAGCCAAGAAAATACTCTGATATAGAAGTGCCTAGCAGCAGAGTCCCTCCACCAAGTATTCCCCCACTGGTTAGTAGTACTTGAATGTAGTTTTACCAATGTACCAGCAATATATTTATGACAAGTTTAATTCTTAGTGACTCAATCGAACTCCTCTACTTAAACATCGTTGCCAATGGTCTTGTAAATAAAGTGTACAAACATGGTACACTGAGAACGGAACAACTAATGACAAGACTGGAAATAACTTAGGAATAGCATAAGAAATACAAACAACAGAGGAAATGCAAATGACATAGGAAATGAGAGACTCTCTATGAAAGGGCCATTTACCTGAGGATTTGGGGATACATTTGGCATAAAGAGTGCACTCATGGTTCCTTGTCAACTCAAGCTAACACCTATTTATTCATATTGTGGTAAGCAATGGTCAAAGAGGAAACTGAGTTCTGTGCAAGGAATAGAACTTTGCATGTTTGGAATTGGTGTTCCAATGCACTACCACTGAACGAGAAAAGATCTTTTACTATTGATACTCATACAATAATCATACATGACCAGGGTCCTGCAGACTACATTTCAGATTTAAGTAGCTGTGAATTACCCACCCCTTGTGTCAAAAGATAATTCTTTTATATGTTCTTACTGAAAATAAAGGACCTGTGTAACGATTTCCCATTTCATTCATGCAGTCTTCAACATGTTACTGCAAAGTAAATGAAACATGGCCAGTAATTTATTTCAATTCAACAATTGGTTGATATAATGTTCTAAAAGAAGACTTGTAAGTGTCCAGTGTAGGGAAAAAAACAATAATACTGAAAACCTAATGTTCTTAAAAGATGTCCCAGTGATGCATGTTGTTGATTTTCAGAAACCTCCAGTTGGAGCCAGAGTATCAGACCCAGGAAGACTCTCTTCTGGCAAGAAAACTTCTGTGAGTGT